TTTCTTTTGAAAGAAAACTTGAATTATGCTAGTTCCTCCAATTCAACAAACAAACAGAAAAGCAGCAACCTGTTCAGGACTCCCTTGAACTCCTTATTTAATTTGCCTTGATAGGCCATTCCCTACATCCTGCGTCCTTCCTTCTTGTAATTTACCTTTAACTTACCATAGATTCCAATACTTTGATCTCTTTTCCCTAATCTGATCTTCAATCTCTTTTCTAAAACCCTTATTCCTATCCTAACCCAGTGCTGTCACTCTGGAAACTTGGATTCTTCTGCTGATTCCATTTTTATCTTCTTCCACTGGGTTCATTAGACCCACTCCTCACCTTTCTAGTATTAAAACACTCATGTGCACAATGATAAAGAAGGAAGATAAAGAAAGGCTTAGAAATATAAATTTAAATCTCATTTCCATCACTGACTACATATATCCAAATAAATCACTTTAATATCTTTGAGTTTCGAATTCTCCATGCAAACAATCACTCAGCCAGGACATTAAACGCAGGTTGAAATACTAGACGCTGTTTTAATTAATCACTAAGATTCCTTAAACTCTGAAAATCTATGTGCTTTTGGTTCTGTTTAAAGAAAAATAGACAATGCTTAGCTAGCACATATGGGAAAAAATAACAAAACAAAAGAAATACCAAATAAAATAGAGAAGTAAAAAAAAAATTTTTTAATTCATGGAAGAAAAAAAGGCTATAGGAGAAAAGAAAAAACTTCAATTAGGCAAATATACTGGCCAGAAGGGAAAAGCAGACTGCGAAGTCAGTAAGTAGAGAAATCAGTTGGAAATATCCTCTAAATCAGGTATCCCTAACCCCTCAGCCATGAACCTGTACCAGTCAGTAGCCTGTTAGGAATCGGGCCACACAGCAGGAGGTAAATAGCAGGCAAGTGAGCAAAGCCTCATCTGTATTTGCAGCCACTCCCCAGCACTAGCATCACCTCCTCAGCTCCACCTCAGATCATCAGGCATTAGATTCTCATAGGAGCACCAGTCCCTGGTGCCAAAAAGGTTGGGGACTGCTGCTCTAAATAGATGTTGAATTTAATTAACATAATATAGTCTGTAATCCATCGCAAGAAGTGTAGATATCATTATACCTGAAAACATTTGCCTGATTAGGCCTTGCTTATGTAAAACCTATGGTTCTGTGGCCATAGCAGAGATCTGCCCTAAACACTTTGGTGGTAAAAACAAGATACTAGTTACAACTGCAGTTCTCAAGTACATTATTGCGAATGCTTAGATTAACTGAGCTTCTAAATAAAACTCTAAATCAGGCTTAACAGATAACTAAATTAGACTCTCTGAGTTGAGCTGACTTACATCTGTATCTTGATGCCAGTGCTTCACCAGCACTTATCACTACAGGATGAGAGACTAGACAATGGATTTGAGAGCCGAGCTGACTGAAGGTCAAATCACAAGTCAGCCACTTGTTCATTATGGAATTATGGGTCAATGAATCAACCACCCTGAACCCAATTGCCTAATTAATAAAAAAAAATTGGCTAAAATACCACAGCTATTTGGCAAAGCTATTGTGATGACACTATGAGACAATAAGTGTTAAGCACATAATATGATGTCTATACCAGAAGAGAACACTCAACAAATGTTAGTTTCTTTTTCTCTGCATTCCCTTAGTTAACATAAAATTTTTAAAAATCTGTAAAATCTTACCTGCTTACAGAGTCTTCTTCAGAACTTTCATCCACTATTAAAGAAAAAAGTAAAATACATTTGAAATTAAGAATAGAAAAATACAGGACTATTAAAAGACTGATGCTATGTTTAAAAGTATTCCTTTGGAACCAGACCTGAAAACTATATTAGAGTGAATATTAAGGATACTATTGGTAGGTAATTAATATATTAAGAATATTTACTTCCTCTCCTTTATATATATCAAATGCAAGAAAAAAATGGGATTTATCAAAATTTGATACCTATGAGTGAACTATTTACAATGATCATAATCCTAACCAAACTCAATCAAACTGACAGAATATGGTATCCTTAGTAGAACCAGGATCCTAAACAATGTCAAACTTAAATAGCATTATTTTTCTGGACATCTACCAAGAAGAGCAATTAGAGAAGAGTATACTTATTGTACTGTAACATGATATACCTTCTCCAACTCTTAGTCAAGACTGTTCAGTTTAGGATGAAACACCAGTAGTACCATGTTATATTACAGCTATTAAATTAAAATGTTAAAACAACCCCTCAAATTAAGTAAAGGCTGTAATTACTGTACAGAAAAGATTTCGCACAGCAGGTCTACGACTGCTATCCTCAGCAAGTCCCATTTGAATGGCTCGCCCTTGATTAGTGACTGGGAACCTGGTTGGGAGAGGGTTCCACCATTCCCTAACTGACAAGAGGGGCTCACTGGGCCTTGACTGTCTGTAGAAACAAGGTGGTTCATGCTGAGCACTTGCTTTCCTTCTGGGAGTCTGGAATTTTGGTCCATGCCAGGGGAGGATGCCTGTGTAACTAGCGTGCCATAAATACCTCGGGCACTGAGCCCAGTGAGACTCTGGTCCTGGTAGACAACGTCTCACATGTGGTGTCAGAACTGGACACAGGAGGAATCAACCACATCCTGGGAACTCCATAGAGAGAGGACTCCTAAAAGCTTGAGCCTGTTTCCTCCAGACTTAGTCCCATACACCTCTTCTCTTTCTGGTTTTACCCTAATCCTTTCACTGTAATAAACCACAGGCATGAGCACAACTATATGCTGAGTCCTGTCAAGTTTTCTAGTGAGTAACCAAAACTAGGTGTGGTTTTAAAAATCCCTAAGAAAATTGCACTATATAAAATTTTTATTATTTGGGTTGAGGTGTTATACATGGTGACGGTCAGAAGGCTATTTCACAAATTACCTGTCCTTGAATTTGTTTTCTGTAATTCTTGTTTTGGTGATTCCTGTAGATCTGTATTTGAATAAAGGTGCAAAAGGAATAAATGAAACAACGATGTCAATAATAATGTAAAACCAGCAACAATACTATTTTAATCAGAATAAAAAATAGAGAATCCTAATGCCAATATGTTCAATAAGTTACTATAAAGAAAATGAAGAGATCACACTGCCAATTTTCTCCAACTAAGCAGGGTTTCACTTTTTTTTAATAGTTATTAATCAATCAAGTGACTGGGATAACCACAGAAAAACATCTATCACATACAGTATAATAATGTACTACTTATTATAGTGTTCTTTTTGTTTCTAATTTTTTATTCATTTCTTATAAAATTAAAAACATACCTCACCTATTAAAAGTCAGTGGTTGACAAAACAAGACAAAAAGTTTAAAAAAGAAATTATACCAAATGTACGATGAGTTATTCATCAAACGCAACACGTATAGATTAAAAACTGGTCTTCCTTGCTGACCTACTGCTCTTCTCTGTTCACCTTAATTCCGTTCACTCCTCATGTCCAGTTTAAATGCTAGTGCAAAACCTGGAAAGCTATGTATCATCTTAGATTTCTCTCTCCCTGCTAACTTTTTACATTTAATCATCCCTAAATCATATTAACTGTACCTCTTTTCTGTCTCCGCTTTATTTTGCCACAGCCACTGCTGGGCTCTTAACAGACAGTTTTCACAGGGGGAGAAAAACCCCATCATCGATATTTATTGTTATTTCTTAAACAAATAAGATTGTTTCTGCAAAACAAATGAGAAAGACATAAGTCCACAGAAAAGACCAACATTTTAAATTGAATAAATTGAGCTTCTGACTTTTTTTATTTCAGCATGGGTGAGCGACAATTTCATAATGCACCGATGCTAGTCCAAGGAAACAAAAGCTCCCTTCATCTGCCTGTCTCTTTATGTGTTTTCCCTCAATCTATCCTCTATATGAGGGGTCAGCAAACTATGGCCCACAGGCCAAATCCAACCCGTTGTCTGGTTTCATAAAGTTTTACTGGAGCACAGTCAGGCCTATCAACTTACATATTGTCTATGACTGCTTTCACAAGCTAATGGCAGATCTGAGTAGAAATGACAGAGATCAGATGGCCTAAAATCAGGCTCTTTACAGAAAAAGCCTGCTGACCATGCAATAAACCATGAACAGCACACCTAAATCAAATCAAATCTTGTTACTCTTCTGCTCAAAACTCTCCAACGAATCCCTGCAGTAACTATTGCCTGCTATCTACCCACTGGCCATTCCTTAGTCTTCATTCTCATTGGACAATTATAAATGCATTTGGATATTTATTGTCCCAATAGACAAAAGAGGTGGCCTCTCTCAAGCTCTAAAAAAAGAAACGATTACTCTAAGCTAATCACAGTAACTGGTTTACCAATAACTGCTGTGGGAATGAGCATCTGAAGTAATACAGCCTACAAAATGTTAGGAGAAGGAAGTCCACTGCAAGCCTTTCAGTTCTCTAAACACACACACACACACACACACACACACACACACACACACACAGTTTAACAACACTAATCGTCAGGGAAACACAAATCAAAACCTCAATACCTCTCACCTGTCAGAAATGGCTATCATCAAAATGTCAATAAATAATTAAGTGCTGGCAAGGAATAAAGGGAATAAAGGGAACTGTTTCTGGATTTATAAACTGGTACAGTCACTATGTAAAACAGTATGGAGATTCTTCAAAAAATTCAAAATAGAACTGGCATAAGACACAGCAATTCCACTTCTGGATATTTGATAAATATCAAAAAAAAAAACAAACCAGTAATTCAAAAAGATACATACACCCCTATATTCACTGCAGCAATATTTACAATAGTCAAGATATGGATGCAATGTAGGTATCCTTCAATAGACGAATGGATAAAGAAGATGTAAGGTATGTGTATGTGTGTATATATATGTGTGTGTGTATATATATGTGTATGTATATACACACAATGGAATATCACTCATCCATAAAAAAATAAAATCTTGCCATTTGTGACAACATAGATGGATTTAGAAGGTATTATGCTAACTAAAATAAGACAAAGACAAATACTGTATAATCTCACTTAATATGGAATCTAAAAAGCAAAACAAATAAAACAGAAACAGACCCAGAGCTACAGAGAACAAACTGATGGTTGCTAGAGGAGTTGGGGGTTGAGGGGATAGATAAAAAAGAAGGTAAATGAAAAGTATGAACTTCCAGTTATAAAATAATCAGCCACGAGGATGTAGTGTACGGCAAAGGGAATATGTCAATAATACTGTAATAACTTTGCACGGTGATAGATGGTTACTAGACTTGTGGTGATCACATTGTACAGTATATAAATGTCAAGTCACTATGTTGTACAACTGAAACTAATATAACACTGTATGCCAAATATACTTTAATAAAAATTTATAAAAGAAAAAAAAACACCTAAAGGAAAGCGGTCCTCTGGCCTTTGGATATTGTCCCATAATATGATGCTTGGAGTCGTTGCTAATTAGCAGACCAGGACAGGAGACATAAACAAAACACTGACAACCTCACATCTGAAATGGGGACAACAACGGGGATCCTGACAGCATCACTGAACCATCAAAATCCCACTTGCTATTGTTTTAGCCACTGTTCATTCGGTCACCTATTGTCTGCAGCTAAAAGCATTCTATGTGATGCATTCCCTAAGGCCTACAGAATAAGACTTCTTCTTTTCTTTGGTACTAAAGACTCCCATAAGCATCCCTTCGCTGGGCCATCATCCGACAACTCCCACAGCACGTGTTCTGTACCATCAAAACTGAACGGCTCATAAATCCTGTAAAGTTCACTTGCGCATCTTAGCCTCGGCACTGCCGTTGCTTCTGCCAAACGTGTGATCCTGATAGATGTTCCTGCTGCCACATGTCGTCCTTCTGCCTCTTTACCTGGCAAACTTCTGCTCCCTCTGCATGCTTACCTGAAACCCTTCCCACATTTTGAAACTCTAAGTTCTCATCATGGACCTAAATAAATAAGTATCTGTAATAAGTATCTGGCACTTATTACACTCCAATAAAAAGATAATAAACACTAATAATTATAAGCTCCCAGTGGGCTCTGGAATCTAGTAAGCACTGAAAAGTATAGTAAATAATAAAAATGACAATGATAATAGACAAGCTCTTGGAGGACAGGGACTGTGATTTTAAAATGTTTATATTCTGCAACATCAAAATAACAGTACCTAAAAGACACTTCATAGTTAAATAGCAAACTATTAAGCAGACTAATGAATAAAGAATAAAAAACGTTGTCTTTGAAAATTGTTTTTAAAAACCACAACAGTAATCCAGGGACAGTAAATACAATATTACAAGCACCCTAAAAACCAAAACTCTACTTCAATTTTATATTTTCTATAACTTGCAAAACCAACCTACAGAAGTTTTTCATCAAGATCTACTAAGCTCAAGGTGTCCTCATACAGTTCAGCTTGCACCATGCACTCCGTGCCACATCCAGGAAGCACAGTAGCATTTTTGTGATTGTGAAACTTTTTTGTACTTTTTTATTGTAATTTGTTGAGTCCCAACTTAAGCTATGTAAATTTTTATTATGACTATATTTTGACTAATGGTGACAGAGCATCTCGTTCTAAAGAAATTACAGTATCATGACAATTATTCAACAAATAGAAGGAAACATTTTGTTCTAATGAAATCAACATATCTAATACTGTTTTGACTTATGAGGAACAAAGGTGATAACAATGAGACCTTCTTGGTACAAAAATAAGTAAAATAATCTATGCTTTTCAACAGGGCATTGCTTTTCTGACTTCTTTACTATCAGTAGATAGTAGTACACTGGCTAAGTTTTGTGATTCTTGTTTGCCGTTTGTTGACAGTACTGGGAAGGTATTATTGAGTTCCTAGTTTTAGTTACATTTTGAGTAAGACAAATCACTATGTAATAACAAATGTTCATTTACTAAATGTAACCATTTTCTGTACAGATTCAACAAATACCCATTTTTATAACAAGCCCAATTTGTTACAAGGTGATTATAGAGGAAACATATACTAACTTAAAAATCTTTTTCTTATTTACATAATGATATCATATGAGATTTTAGGGGTCACGGCTAAATAAATAAATATTTTCAGACAATACTGTCTCAGATATTAAATTACCTAAAATTAACTCTTTAAATAATTTTATTTTTTAATTACAGTTGGCATACAATGTTATATTAGTATCAGGTATACAACATAGTTAATAGACTTTTATATAACTTACAAAGTGATCACTCCCAAAAATCTAGTACCCATCTGACACCATACATAGCTATTACAATATTATTGACTATATTCCTTATGCTATACTTTACATTCCCATGACTACTTTGTCACTACCAATTTGTACTTCTTAATCCCTTCTCCTTTTTTAGCAACCCTATCTTTTGATTGGAGTATTTAATCCATTTACGTTAAAAGTAATTGTTGATAGATATATAGTGATTGTTATTTTATTATTCATATTCTCGAATTTTTTTTATCTTCTTATTTAAAAAGTCCCTCTAACATTTCTTGTAATACTGGTTTGGCAGTGATGAACTCATTTAGTTTTTTCTTGTCTGGGAAGTTCCTTCAATTCTAAATGATACCTTTGCTCGGTATAATAATCTTGGTTGTAGGTCCTTGCTTTTCATCACTTTGAATATTTCATGCCGAATTCCTACTGGTCTGTAAAGTGTCTGTTGAGAAATCAGCTGACAGGCCTACGGAATCTCCCTTGTGGTAATTGTTTTTCTGTTGCTGTTTTTAAGTTTCTCTTTGTACTTAAGCTTTGGCATTTTAATTATGATGTATCTTGGTGTGGACATCTTTGGGTTCATCTTTTTAGGACTATCTGTACTTCCTGGGCTTGCAGGTCTATTTCCTTTGTCAGCTTAGGGAGATTTTCTATCATTATTTCTTCAAAGAGGCTTTGAATTCCTTGCTCTCTCTCTTCTCCCTCCAGTACCCTATATTGCAAGTGTTGGTATGCTTCATGTTGTCCAAGAAGCCCCTTAAAGTATCCTCATTTTTATTCTTGTTGGTGTTCTGATTGGGAGTTTTCTGTTACCTTACTTCCAGATCACTGATTTAATCCTCTGCTTCATCTATTCATTCTACTGTTGATTCCTCCTCCTAAGGTATTCATTTCAGTTATTGTATTCCTCATTTCTGACTGGTTCCTTTTTATGTTTTCTATCTCCATATCTATGTTTTCTATCTCTTTGTTCAAGTTCTCACTGAGTCCATCTACTCTTCCTCTAAGTTCATTGAGCATCCTTATAAGCAGGATTTTGAACTCTACATCTGGCAGATTGCTTGTCTCCATTTTGTTTAGTTCTTTTTCAAGAGCTTTGTCCTGTTCTTTCATTTGGGACATGTTTCTTTGTCTCCCCATTTTGGCTGCCTCCCTGTCTTTCTTTCTATGCATTAGGATAGGGCCGCTATGTTTCCTGGTCTTAGTAGAGTGAACTTACGTAGTAGGTGTCCTGTGGGCCCAGTGGCACAGTCTTCCTGATCACCTGAGCCAGGTGCTCCAGGTGTGTTCCTTATGTGGATTGTGTGTGCCCTCCTGTTGTAGAGACTTGGTTGTTGTTTGCACATAATGGGAGGCACTGACCCTTGGTTGGGTGGTTGTGAGGACTGGTTGGTGAGGGGCTAACTGTAAGGAATAGGATTTGATTTAGCAGGGCTCTGGTGCCTGCCTAGTCTATCCCTGTGTGTGTAGTCCTCCAATGCAGTCCCAAGTGGTCCTCCAGCTCAGTCTGAAGCCAGCCTCTGGGCATGCTGGCCCCAGAGCTTCCTGGGAAGGGCTTCATCCACCGCCTGTGCCCTGCCTGGGGCCACCAAGCAAGAGTCACCAAGCAATTCGCAGATGACCATCACCGGTACTGGGCTTAGAGGTACCTAGAGAGGCCAATTCGCAAACTGCAGCTGGCTACTGCCAATGCCGGGTTTGGGCTGCTCAGCAAGAAGCATGCAGGACGCTGAGGTCAAATGCTGCTTATTTGGGTTTTGCAAATCTTTCAGAGATTTTAGGAAAGTCTGCAACACGAACAAAGATGGGTCAATTGTATAGCAAAGCCACTGGAAATGGCTTGGGAGGGCCTGTAAGTTGGGAGGGGCAGGGTCTCAGGGAATCAACAGGGTGAGGCAACCAGTGTTTGAAAGGTTAATGGATGCCCAGATATGGCAACCACCTCCATCTGCATGCCAGGAGAAGGGAGAGCTCAACAAAGGAACAATGGACACTAGTAGCACTTCTGTCTGGGAGAAGTTTTCCCCTCCAGCCCTCGCCTTGAAGCCAGACAATTCATTTCCTCCCTGTATGTCCCTGGTGCCTTTCAATTTTTTGCCCCAGCACTGGAGCTCAGAGCAAGTGAGCCCATCAGCAAGTAAGTTTACACACAGGCCCCTTAACAGGAGTTTTAAGTCCTGCAACTCCAGGAGCTCTTTGTCTCATTCAGCGACAATCTTTACTGGTTTTCACAGCCAGAAGTTGTGGGGACTTCTCTTTCCAGCACTGGAACCTTGGGCTGGGAAGCCCAGTGTGGGGCTGGAACCCCTCGCTCCTCCAGGGGTATCTCTGCTTCTGAGATATCCCTCCTGATTTTTAACCTCCACACACAACTTTGGGACCAGCATCATCCACGTCTCCACCTCTCTGACCCGTCTCTAGTTGGCCTTTTGTGTATGTTCCCAGCTGTAGGATTTCAGGTGACTCCCAACGATGGTTGTTCTGTAGTTTAGAGGTAATTTTAATGTGGTTGTGAGAGGAGACAAGCACAGAGTGTACCTACTCTACCATCTTAACAGAAATATCTATACAATTAACTTCTATAATAACTCTCAATGCTAGATTAAAAAGAAATTTAAAAAGAAAAAATATACATGCACTTTACACACCGTGCTTTTTTCCACTATTCTTTCATTTGCAAAACCTCCTTTCTTTTACTTTATCTAAGGTAGGACCAAGAGTAAGTAACGATTATAAGTCTTACCTAGATTGCTATTCTGGGAAGACCTTTTATATCTCCATTCTTCTTTATAATCAGAAGGTAGTTTGCAATTGCTGTGTATAAAAAAGGTGATAAATAACATTACTATCTTTATGTTGAAATAAAAAACATTTACCAAATATATGAAATTTTTAGAGTGTTTCAGATGATATCAGAGGTAATATTAATACTTTAATTACTCCAAACGATTCAATTTGTAAGTTCTACAAACTTTTTATCAAGCATGTGATTAAAGAGAAAAAAAAGTAAGGGTAGGGTTAACCACTCCGAAATTGAGGAAAGTAGAGTTCAGTCAATTAATTAGAGTTAGCTTAACTTAATGGCAAGTGTCTTGAACTCAGAAGTCCTTCCTCTATAACCAACAGCTATTTGCTCTCAGACAAGTCACTTCTCTGTGGCTCAAAGTCCTCCTCTATAAAAGAGGAATCCTACTGCCTTGTTTTACAAGGTTATGAGGAGGATTAAAGGAGATAATACACCAAAAAGATGCTCATAGAAACAAAAAGGCAATGGAATAAGTTGTTTTTGGCCTTTATTTGTTAAAACTATTTTGGAATCCCAAACAAATCCCAATATTTGTTTTTCATAGGTGCTAAATTTCAGATGTTGCAGGTTTCAGAAAATGTTATTAATTTTGGTTCTTAGCTGTTCTTTCTTTGTGGGTTGTCATTCAAGGCATCTCAGCTATCACATAATTTGTAACTAAATATATTTATAAATATATTACCTCAGTAAAGAGATAACATAAGTGTCCCCTACTACTGTAGCTAATCATACCAACAGCAGAAAACTAATAGAAGTCAAGACCTGGCTTGGACTACTACTATCACTTCTCAACCTACTCAAACTCTGAACTAATAGATCTTATTAGAATGATGCTTTATCTCCCTGTCCATACCCAACAGACTTTGAGATAAAACCCTACTTTTACACACGAGTATTGATGAGTCATGGATGGGGCTGAGCTATCTTAAGGCCAAATAACCTACTTTATATTCAGAGCTTTCGGTTGACTGGCTTCCATGGGAGGCATAATTGTAAATATTTTGAACCCTAAGGTAGATTCAAGTCACTTGGGAGATTTTCTTTATTCTGGAAAACAGATCACTTGAGGGCCAACCTTAATTATGGAATCTTAGACAAGTTGGTGCCTACTACTCTGGGAGGGCAACATGGGACCTTCTACAACCTAAGAGGTGCTCTACAGGACATCAAGTGGCCTTGTGATGCAGATGTGTTAACAAGGGATAAAGAAAAGCCTGATCTTCTCCTGCAGCATTATTTGAACCTCCTGACAGCTTGAGATGGTTCCAACTAGCATCTGCTAGCAGAAAACACAAACAAAATGCTCAAAGGGTAACGTATGCTGAAGGTCTGGGCTCAGATGTGGCTCTACAGAGGTTTTTGAGTGTGGGGTGAAGGGTTGTGTGCCCAAGGCTAGGATGCCCAACTGCCAGAACAGGGAGCTGGTGGTTTGGAACAGCGGCTGAGCAAAAAAGCGCATGTGTGTAATCTAAAAAGTTTTAATTTGAAGTCCAAGTGTGGATCACCACGAAGACTGAAGCATCTGGATCAGCGAGGGCAACCTGGGAGCAAAGATCAATCACGACCCCAGGACCAGTTTCAAAGAGCCACTGTGCAGCAATACAATCAGTGGACACAACAGAATGATTAGCATATCCTTCTTTATATCTCCATCTGACATGTGAGAGAGGATTGTCTCCTTTGGATTTAGGGAACCCCTTAGGTTCTTGAAAAATTCAAGGGGGAGAGTACAGATGACAGCTTCCAGAAAATACAAAAGTTTCTGCTAAAGTGAACATTTTAACCCAAAATAACTACATGGAAAAACCAGAGATGGGATATTATTTGGATCCTATGCAGAGGGGTTATACTTGAAATGGATAACATTACGATCCTTAAAGAAAAGGTCTTAAAAGTTCTGAGATAATGAATCTTCACCCACTGCTACCTCTAATTTGTCCAGCCTTTAGTTTGGTCTCTGTCTGAGGAGGAACATTAACTCACTGCCATTCCCAAAGTGCCTGAACCACACTATGACATCTCACCTTTTACATAAGAAGTAAAAATTAAATTATTTTAAACCTCAGTTTTGAGATAACTAGCATTTTAATGAAAAACATACAAATTAAAACCTTTAATAAAAGCATGTTCTTCTGCAGTCCATCCAAAGTCATCCTGAGAAAAGACATTAACACCTTGTTCATCATTTACACCAGGCCTGAGGGCTGTTCTAAAATAACAGAGAGATAACTTCACCCTTAGGGACATTAAGTTATTTAAACAGCTAATTTGATATATTTTCCCAAGATCATGTCTTGCTTGTGTGTGTAGAATTGCCCAGTTATGTGTTTAAGTGTTCATCTTTATAAATTACCTCCAAAGCTAAAAAGAAGGGACAAAAAGGAAGCCTCTTGTCCCACTTAGGGTTTATACAGAAATTGCTAATTTAAGTTCTCTAATAGACAAGAAACTATGCTGAGGGCACTTATCTGAAGTGAAGATTTAGATGAAGAAATTCCTTTTTCATCTTTAGTCTCATATATTGTACCTCAATGTCAGCTAGAAGTCAGGTGAGTAAAAACTATTTGACAGGCTCAAAACAACAATATTAATAATAATTATAATAATAATAGTCCTAGAGTTAATGATGCTGATAAGCATGTGCTAGGCACTAAATTAAATGCTGGATAATCTAACACACACCATTCTTGCAGGATATGTTCTTATCCTATTCATATCAAGACACATATTTGGTGACGATGGGTAATGTGTTCCCAAGGTCATATTCCTGGCATGTGGGAAAGCTAGGCATCACACCTAGTCTTCTGTGAACTGAAAGCCCATCTCTCTTTTTCTTGATCACTCACCTCTCACTTGTCTTTATTAAAGAAAAAGTTTATTCAGTTAAAGCTATCTTTATTTCTTCTACTAATACCAATTAAAAATAAAAACATCAAACTATACTAGACATAGAGGGTAAAAACTGATGAACCTATATCTGGGAGCAATAATTCATAGTAACTTAGGCATAAACTAACATCACCAGTATTCTTCAAAGAAAGCAGTTTAAAGCAAAGAGTCATCCGAAAGACAAAATCAAATCTTATTTCTGTTTAATATACATCTTATAAAAAAAACTGTATGCAAATTAGAGGTTTAAAAAAACTGAGACTAAGTTCAATACTGTATCATAAACTAAAATTTAGACTTTATATATATAAAACTAATAAATGTAATATAAAACTCCTAAGATAATATATGTGACCAAAGAAATCAAATTACAAATGGCACCAATCAATATTATAAATAAATATGAACATGAATACCTCAGTGTACGGTTCTCCCTGTTGCCCAGCCAGAAGTATTGCTTTTCTACCAAACAGATGATGTGTTGATATTTTTCACTATATATGTTAATCCTCCTCTTATTAATATTTCTGACTTGAGTATTGTTACCATTCTACAATACCGAGATTTTTTTAAAAAATTAAAAAACTATACCTTTTCATCTTATCAACGGCATGTACATTTTCATTTCTTTTTACTAAAAACTCCACCATTTGTTGTTTGTTTTCATTTATAGCAAGTAAAAGTGGTGTGAGGTCATCCTGTAAAACAAAAAAAAACTAATTTATAATATAAATTTATATATTTCTAAACTGAATTTTAAAACTTATGAAAGGTCATCTGAATTTAAACATATAGTATAGGAAGTAACTAAAAAGTAGCCCTCCGAGCTGTCTCCTGCTGCTCCTTCTCTTTAAAATATTTTTTCTTCCTCTTCAAAAGATTAACTGCAACATCATTCTCCAAAACTCACAGTACTAATTCCAAGAATCCTGGCTCCTATCACAGTATCTATCGTAGTATTCGGTAGTTATCGTATTGCTCCCCATCTAAATCAAGAGCTTCATGAGGGCAAGGCTTTTTTTTTCTTTATCTCTGTATCTACAAACTCTAAAACACAGCAGTAAAGGCTTTAACCTAAATGATTGTCTCTGGAATAGTATTAATAAATCATCTTCCAAGGAATATTTACTAGAAGTTAAGTACTGCGCTCCAATAGAAAGATCCCAGAAAGATCACCTGTGTTTGAAAAATATTACAAAACCTGTTTTATATGCCTAGGACTAAAGAAATGTTTAACTTGGCTTAATCCTGATTTGACAATACTATTTTTATGGCAAACACATTAACATTTGAGAAATTTTAGAGTCTCAAGGATACAGTTTTGAGAGCTTTCCAAAAGAAGTGAAGATTTCTCCAGGTTATACAAACTTGCTAGATTCTCCTCCATTAATGCTATGGATCCCAGGTGTCAGCTTCAGGCACCCCTGCTCTGAAAGGGTCACTAAGGAAATGGACTCTAAATTAAAAAGACATGGGCTTCAAATCAACTTTGCATATTACTAAATGGTCCATGGGTTTTCTTCTATAAGATAGCTTTTTATCTTAGCTGTTAGAAAGCACAATATGAAATTTTATTCTCAATTATAATGATAATCCTGAGACCCAAATGCATATCTACCTTTTTAAAATTGGTTTTTACTTTCTCTTTCCATTTTAATTACTACTTTATTTTATATATTGGGAAAAATATAAATCATAAATAAAAATATAATGGCTTATCAATAAACATTTCAATAGTGATCTATACGGATTATTTTTAGCATAAACAAAGCTACTAAATCTCTTGTATTTTCAAGGAACAATGCTGAGTAGAAAAAGTATAGTCTGAAATATAGATAACCTATCCAACTATACCATGATTAACAACATAAGACTTATGGACATTCCAATAGGAATATGATATTTATAGGACATACAAAGAAGAGTTTAAAAAAAAAAAAAAACTTATAAATTCTACTGGAAAAATTCAATCCTATTTCTCAGAGATTAATATAAAATATAAATTATAAATCAACATAGACTACCTTGAAAATCTTGAAATCTTTACCAAAATGTACTATAAAACAGGAATCGTGAACTCTAATGCTTATAGAGGCAAAGTAAGTGATCCAAACGGGACCAAGTAAGGGAAGAAACTAGATGGAGACAGCAGCAAACTAGAGAACACAGGTCTCACACAAAAGGGGCAGCCTCAGCACAGCACACCAAACAGTACGATGGGCTCAAGGGTACAGGTTTGACTCTTTAAGAGAAACTGAAATCTAGATTTCTACATGAGTCTCCTAAATTTTAAATGTTCATTCAATTTATGGAAGCAAATCAAACATATCCAGGGGCCACATATACTCTATAGCCCAAATACAGTATCATATGTTTTATTGAAATATTGGGCCCCAACATGTAATAAAAACTATTATTTAGAATCAATATACCTACTTCAGAATTTTTCCAATACATGTTAAACTACAATCTATTCGTATTTATTTCTCACAGATTGTTAATCAAATGGATAATTATTTCAAAAGACTGCTGAAACTCAATTAGTCAAACAATCCCCATCTGCATCATCACTAACTTAGTGGTTTTTGATGTCCTGATGTTTAAAACTGCCATCCTGATTAAGCCAGGGTTCTATAAATTGAACAGACATATTGAGACCATCTATCACACAACTTCAACTATAAAGAACATTTATGATTTACTATTATTGCAGGAAAACTCTGCTTGCAGTAAACATGTGTTACTGTAATGACCTGAGCATGAGCAAAAAATGCAAAATTCTTAAATGGTCCAATTCTATATATTCATGTTTCAAAAGGTTCTCTGAGAGCCAGTGAATGATTGACAGTGTAAAGGAAAGAGGTGTTCCCCTTTTAAGCCAGTAGATGTGGTCAACGATACACCCTTTAACCTCTGGAGCACCGAAGTAGAGATAGTTCAAAGTCAGGCTGATAGTGTTGGAAAAGAGAGAGCTGGAGGCAGTATCTCCTACCAAACTCCAAGTCTTCTGGACATTTCTGAAGTTTCTGAGATCTGTGAATTTATGCATTACACTTATCCATTCAGTAGTTCTTAACCAAGAGTTACATCAGCATCTCGAGGAAATATTTCTAAATACACATGTCCACGCCTTATTAGATTCACTCAGTCAAAAACTTCAGGGAAGAGCCTAAGATTGTAATTTTTTTAAGTGCCTCAGGTGATTGTGATGCACTAGCACAATTCTAGCTGAGAACTAGGGCAGCAATCACTTCCGTCTTATTTCTCACCTCCATGGCCAATTCTGTCACTTGATGCCGGCCAAGAAAAGTGTAAGAGATACATGACACCTACCAAAACTGCACTTAACTTTCTGAGCGGAGGAGGC